TGACGGTGGAAGAGATGCACAAAAGCTTTTTGTAGCCAGCTGATATACTTTTTACCACGTATGTTTGTTTTGGAAATAAATAAATAAATAATTTAAAAAAAAACATGTTGTTTTCTAAATAGCACCTAGATGTCCCAAAGCTCTGTTTTTAAAGCCTCATCAGGTTGGGCAACGGCAACGGCAACTCTTCCTTCTCCTTGTGTTGATGTTGCAACTTGGGTTTTTCCAAACAAGAGGCTAGTTTCTGCTCAAATAACTCCAGTGTACAATTTTTTTTCCCATACAGCAAATAAGAGGGGGGGGGCAATAAGAGGGTAGAAGCACCATAAACAAAGTTTAAAAATCCAGAGTGTACTTGGAGCCCAGCTGGTTCCCACATCTTGGATCAGGAAATACTTTTGCCGGACATTTTAGTGGCTTGGTCTGACAATGCCTCTGTGAACAAATGTATACCTGTAGGTGAGATATTGGAACAAATATCCTGTTCTCGCATTGTTCCTTGTTTTTTTCTTCATTTGATACCAGTCTGTGTTGATCAGGCGTTTTCTGTAAAATAAAATAAAATAAAAAAAGTCACAAAATCTTGTGGGCGTGCGATGTGGCCTCTTTCAAAGCACTTCATTCTATTCTGTGCCCACCTGTTATTGCGTTTATTTGTTTTCCTTCAACAAGCAGCCGGTATTATACAACCACTTATAAAACATTATATCCTCACTGAGGATTGGCGGGGCGGGGAGGTGTTCTGAATTGGAGAGATACCTAATTATTGTGTTGATTAAGTGGTATCCTCCAGATTTAGCTTTTCTTTCTGTAAAGATTTCTCTCCTTTTGCAATCCTTGATTGCAGTCTCTCTCCTCTCAGGATAATCCACATTACATGTCTGAATCTTCAATAAGCAAGGAAGTGACGATATACATTTGATTTACGACTCTACAAACCCACACTTAATCAAGCAATTAGGAACGGAGCTGGAAGGGACCTTGGAGGTCTTCTAGCCCAACCCACTGCTCAAGCAGGAGATCTTATAGTATTTCAGGGAAGTGACCGTCCTGTCGCTTCTTAAAAACCTCCAGTGATGGAGCACCTACAACTTCTGAAGGCAACTTCTGTTCCACTGGTTAATTATTCTCACTCTTAGGAAGTTTCTCCTTAGTTCCGAGTTGCTTTGCTTCTTGATTAGTTTCCATCCATTGTTTTTTTGTCCTGCTTACAGGTGCTTTGGTAAATACGTTGAGCCCATCCTCTTTGTGGCAGCCCCGTCAAATATTGGAATACTGCTATCATCCCCTAGTCCTTCTTTTCTCTAGCAAGCCAAACCCAAACCTTACAACCGTTCTTCATATGGTTCCACTTAAAACTAGATGGATCGAATATTTAGTCCTTAAGAACTTTACCCTTGGGACAAACATTTGGGAATCTGTAGCATAGAACTGAATGAAAATCGGAAAAGCGAAAGCAACTTCTGCTCATGAATTCTTGTTTATTTATTTTTTTAAACCCAGCATTTCTAGATGGCTATACAATCTGGATTTGAGATCACACTTTCCCCCTTCCGGTTCTTAATCCATTCCCATGCTTTCTCCAATTGGTCTCCGGACGCAATTCAAGGTGTTGGTTATCACCTTTAAAGCCCTACATGGCTTAGGACCAGCGTACCTGCGAGACCGCCTACTGCCACATACCTCCCAACGGCCGATAAGATCCCACAGATTGGGCCTCCTTCGGATGCCGTCAGCCAGACAGTGTCGGCTGGCAGGCCCCCGGAAGAGAGCCTTCTCTGTGGCTGCTCCGACCCTTTGGAATTCAGCTACCCCCAGAGGTCCGGACCTTACCCATGGCCTTCAGGAAAGCTGT